TGTCTGTGCTTCTGCCTCATTGAAAGTATCCTTTACCAGCTGTGTCCCAATGTCTGCCTGTGTGATCTATCAAATCTTTCACCCAAATGAAATTGTTGTTGGCAGCTGAGGGTGTTGAGGAGAGCTTGAAGCCTGGTAGGGTTGAGATCCATGGGTAACCCCAGATTTTAACTGATTTGCCATCTCTAATGTCATACCTTGCCCTCGACTTTAATGAATCCCTCACCTCAATCCAGCTATTCCACAACCATGAACCATTTTTCTTCTTCTTAACTGTGAAAAAGCTTTCCTGAGGGAAGTATTTAGTCTTAAGAACTTTGCTAAGTAACATTAGATCTTGTGAGGATCCTCCATAGCTGTTTGGCAATGAGTGCTCTGTTGAACAAAAAGATGTCTTTGAAACCTAGTCCACCCTTAACTTTAGGAAGTGTAAGGTAACGCCATGGCTTCCAATGAATACCTCTGCATTGTTTAGTTTCTTTCTTCCACCAGAAATTTGCAAAAGTCTGAGAGATCTTGTGGCATAGAGTTTTGGGAATCAGAAAGCATGACATTGCATAGTGTGGGAGGGCTGAGAGAACTGATTTGAGCATTATTTCTTTTCCTGCAAGAGAGAGGTATCTGTTTTTCCAAGATGCAACTTTAGCAATGACATTATCCTGTATGAATTGAAAGGTTTGTATCTTTGATTGACCTATTCCCAGTGGCAGCCCCAAATACTTCACAGATTGATGACAAGAAATACCAAGTAAAATACCACATATTTGGTTCTTAAGGTGGGCAGGTGTGCTTTTACTGAAAAAGATAGAGGATTTTTGGAGATTGATCTGCTGACCTGAGCATTGTTTGTACCTATCTAGAATGTTGAGAATCAGATAGGCTTGATGAATATCTGCTTGTGCAAAGACCAGTGTGTCATCAGCAAAAAATAAGTGGGTTAAGGTAGGACCATTTCTACAAAGCTTGATTCCTTTGAAATTACCTGAAAGACACTCAGTTTTAATAAGATGAGAGAGGATCTCTGATATCAAAATGAAAATATAAGGGGACAGTGGGTCCCCTTGTCTGATGCCTCTAGAGGGTTTTACAAATCCCTGAGGAGTGCCATTCAAGTTAAAAGAGAAGGTAGGTGAGGAAATGCAAGCTATGATCCATTTGACAAATGTAGCATGGAAACCCATTTGGATTAATGTATACTGGACACAATTCCATTCAATCCTGTCAAATGCTTTAGACATGTCTAATTTAAGAGCCATATAACAAGTATTCCCCTGTCTATGACCATTCAGAAATGTGATCGCCTCTTGGGCTACTATGAAATTGAATAAGATTTGTCTATCTTTCACAAATGCAGCTTGATTTTCAGATATACAGGCAGATAAGCAAGGCTGAAGTCTTGTGGCTATGATTTTTGATATGATTTTATAAGTGGTGCCACAAAGACTGATGGGCCTAAAGTGGAAAACTCTTTCAGGGTTAGGGATTTTTGGTATGAGTGTGATGAGTGTGTGATTCAGACTTTTCAAAATTTGGCCAGATTCAAAGAAGCTCAGAACAGCAGAATAAAGGTCACATTTGATAATATCCCAGAACTTTTGAAAGAAGAAAGAAGTCATACCATCCATTCCAGGTGCTTTGTTGGGGTTGATAGAGAATAGAGCCTGTTTGACTTCTTCCACCTCTACTATTGCTATCAGCTCTTTATTTTGCCCCTATGTGATTGATGCTGGCAAGTTGTGTATGAGGTCCACTCTTGGGTTTGAAAGTTCTGATGTAAAGAGCTCTTTGTAGAAGGATTCAACACACTCAGCTATGTCGTTCTGTTGGTCACACACAGAGTTGTCATCCTTCAGAAGTCTGGTAATGGCATTTCTCTTCTTTCTCTGAATAGTGCAAGCATGAAAAAATTTGTATTTTTGTCTCCTTCTTTTATCCAAGAGATTCTGGATTTTTGCTGCCAAAATTTTTATTCTTCTTTGTGCACTTCTTCTAACTGCTTTGTTAGAGAATCCCAGAGATGTCAGTCTTTAAGTCCTCCCAAATTCCTGAGCTCTGTGAGTTGGTCATTCAGGCTTGCTATTTTCTTAATTGTATCAGCTCTGAAACCACTACTCCATTTGAGTAGAGCCACTCTTGTCATCTTGATTTTTGACAGAAAACAAAACATAGGAGTCCCAGTGGTAATGGTTTTCCATGTCTGCTCAACTGTCTCATGGAGTCCTTGTTTCCCTAACCAACTCTTATTGAAATAGAACCTTTTCATATTCTGAGTGTGGCTAGGATTAAGGTTGAGCAAAAGCAGACTGTGATTTGATGAACTTCTGAAGACATTGAGGATTTCTGCATTTAGGTAAAGGCTTGAACATTGGAGGGACCCAAAGATTTTGTCAATTTTTTCTTCCACAAATCCCTCTTCAATCCTGTTGTTACCCCAAGTAAAAGCATATCCCTGCCATTTAAACTCTTGCATCCCCATATTGCCACAAATTCCTCGAATGGCTGTATAGAACTGTCTGCTCTGATTCTCCCACCTCTTTTTTCCTCCTTGCATAGTATATCATTCCAATCTCCCCCTAGAAACCAAGTTTGACCCCATTTACTCTTTTCCCTCTCTAGACATTCCCATTGGAGTTTCCTCTCTCTCTGATCTGTACTTAAATACACAAATATACCCCAGACAAAACAGGCCTTTGTTGGATCCCAAAATTCTACTTGGATATAGAAACTGAGCTTAATGATCTGTTTGATAGAAACAGAGTCACTCCAAAAAACAGCTAAACCCCCACTTCTACCATGAGGTTCTACTGAGGACCAATTACCAGCTATACCCATAGATCTACTAACTGTATTTACAAAGGCATTTTTTCTTTGTTTCTGATACAAAAACCAAAATTGGGTGGTGGAGCTTCCACATCTCCTTAAGTTGGGAAATTGTAGAGGGCCCACCCAGCCCTCTACAATTCCACATGATAACATTCATTGATCCATGTGGGGCCATTTCAGGCTGGCCTCCCTCACCTCTACCTCTTGTAACTCTGATTTTTGCTTCTTGGACTGATGAAGTTCCTCCAGTGGCTGCTCTGGTTCATGAGTATTCAGTTGTCTTCTCCCTCTAATTGGTTTAGTCTCAGAGGAATCTGTGACTAGTGTCGTCTTTGTTTGCCCTTTCCTTTTCCAGCTTCTCTTCACAGTTGGGCTTTCCTATAATGGTGGATCATCATGCCTTATAAGGTTCTCTGTTATTTCAGGCAATGTAGGATTGGAGTGGCAAGGTTGTGTTGGAAGGGTTTTGAGTGTTGGAGGGTTTTGGAGTGAGGAATGTGGTATTGATGATTGATTTGACATGTGTTCAATTTTCATTTGGACTGGCAAGATTTGTTTGGAGTTTGCTAGCAAAGAATTGGGTTTAGGAATTTCTGGAAGTGCTTGTGTGAGAGTTTGAGGGGTATTTGTAGGTTGAAGGGTTTTTGTAGGTTGTGAACTGGTTGAAGGGAAGTGATTGGGTTTTTTTGTAACTGTGTTTGTGTGGGAGGGTGTGGCTACCGAGATAGGCTGTGGTTGTGGCACAGGGTTGTTGCTGGTTTCAGAAGAAGGTTTGTTACTGGTGTTATAATTATTAGGGGAATCTGAGTTTCCATATGAGTTGTATTGAGCAGCAAAAGGGACATAGGTATCTGGGGCTCGTATCCATTCTCCGAACATGCCTTTCAATAGTTTGCCTGAAGCAATGTCAGAAGTTCTTTGTTCACAAGTTCGATCCAAGTGCCCCACCAGGCCACAGTAATAGCATACATTTGCCAATTTTTCATATTTGAAGTCGACAATGATTTTCTTATTCCCCAATTGAATACTAGCGCACCTCATTAAGGGTTGAGTGATATCCACTGATGCCAGAATTCTTATGCATTTCCCTGCTAGCAATCCTCCTTGGGGTATAGAAATGTTGCTAGTTTTATTGAAGACCTTACCTATTTTCATTCCCACGTCTTCCGTAATCCAATTGATTGGAATATTCCAGATTTGCACCCAGGTGTCCATTTCATTGAAAGTAGGATGCTCTGCAGTGATATCCTCCTCCCAATCACGCAAAATGAGTGCTTGATTTTCAAAGCTCCATCCAATTCGTTTTTCTACTTTCTGCTTGTCTTTCATTTCAGAAAATAGGAATTGAAAGAAATTGGGACTGAGTTCCCTGATCCCTACCGATCCTTTAATTTGCCATATTTGAGTGGTTGTTCGCCTTAGACCGGCTAGATGCGCTTTCCGCTGTCCTATGATTTTGCCAACGAGACTCTTTTTGCATTTCTCCGCACTGAGTTGAACATCAATCGAATCGAGTGGGATGACATTAGCTTCTTTAGCTGATAAATGAAATGCACCCAGTTGGTGCACTATATCTTCTTCTTCATCCATAGAAACTGGTGCAATAGTAGTAGGTGACGAGCCCGGAGCCCTATTCTGCATAAAAAGCCCCAAACAAGACAAACAAAGAAACCCTAGTTGATGGATAACAAAATAAGAAAGGAATAGCAGGGGAAAGAGATTACAAAAGGTGCAGCACTATCTTATCTGATGGTATGCCTCATTCAAGGGAAGAAAAGCTGCAAATACAGGAATTTGGAGCTCGTCGAAGAGGAATACGTGCTCCCATGGAGAGAAGATTTCATAATATAACTTTATTTATATTTATTACTATAATTATTATTATTATTACTATTATTATATTGTTGTTATTATTATTATTATATCAACTACGGTTTTTTATTTAGCAACTACTAATTTAAATTAGTCGATTTTTAAATAAATCTACCAGACATACTCATCGCTCACCATTTTTTTCTTAAAGAAGAAAATA